TTGCAATTACTGTGCCAGACACCAAATTCCCGTACCTCTCTTCTGTAGTCACGAATCTAGTGTTACTAACGTTGACGGAATGCTTCAGCTTCGACGTTCACCAGCGTCATTTATCAGGGATTCTAGGAACGTGTCGTAAGATGAAAAATGCAAAAGCGCCACGAAATGTTGAATCACTGTTCAGAAGAAGCTCTGATATGGAACGTCACCCCACCCTAGTAGCATCAGATATTAGTTCAATGCTGGACCAACATTGAACACATTGTCTATATATGATCGTACATTTAGCCATTATTGCCAATATCGGCTAAATATTGGCTTCCCAATATTGCAATTCCATCATCGATCCAATATCGGCCCAAGTTGCACGTAGAAGTTTGTTTTGGAAATGTTGAAGTTCTCATCCAGGCCACTAGATGGAGGTATGGGTCTCGCTTTTCGCTCAGTACACAAAGTGCACTTCCCTCTTTTCATGGCATCATCACTCACAGGAGTGTTTAGTAACTCGCCATATGTTTTTCCTAGTCTCATTATAGCAATCAATAAAATCGGAAACGCAATGATTTATTATCCCCATATCCGAGACATAAGCATGGAGCCCAGGTGGTAAACAAACTCATATTCCCGATGAGAACCTGCTGCATGCATATCACGTTACGAATTTTTCATCTCTCGACTATGTCCATTGTCTCTGACTTTCGTTTCTAATCTCCGGGACTGAATAATTATTCTGCCCCCAGGGGAGGGAAGGAGGACAAAGCCTCTGGGTATTTCGCAGAACAGGAGAGGGTTAACTGTTTTCTGGATAATACTAACATTATAACATTCAGTGTAACATGTACCTGTATATTTCACGATCGTCATCATTGACCTGGTACTAGGGGTGCTACTTGGGTCCCTTCAAACAATTTGAAACAAATGACGTTGAATCAATATTGAATGAACGTTCGGAACGTTGATACAACGTTGGTCCAACGTAGTTTTGTTTGCTGGGGTGGAGGTGAGCGTTCCAATAAGCAACGTCACAAAATGTTGGCCCAACATTCAGCCAGTGTTGAATTTCAATGTTCATCTGAGTATCCCGATAAGCAACATTGAAATATTGACTTCAACATTCAACGCTGAATGAACGTTTGTTAGCTGGGGACGTATACCAGGACATAAAACTTCGCCTGCTTAGTGCTGAGGAACTAGTTCATGAAAAAGTGTCTCTGTTACTAAAGACGAGAATGATTCTAGCCTTCCAGAAACCTGTAGGCACAGACATCATTCGACCTCTCCCTGCACGTGGAACAAATTCACGTGTTAAAGTCATGTAATCCTCATGAATGTGAATGTGGACGGCGAATAACAAAAGGGTCTATAGAGATCAAGTGCAATAGATACGAAGGAGAATTTGAACACGACTATTAAGAATGATAACCACGATACACTTCCCCAGCCACGACACTCCCCGAGACCGGAATCCAAGTTAGGATGGAAGGGGATCGATTCTGAGAGGAGCCTCAGGCACTCGATAGGTGAGCTTGGTTACTAGCCTGGGTTCACCTAGGTAGGAATACCACTACAACAGATGGGAGCATGCTTTCAGAGCATGCTTTCAATTCTTCACGGATTGGTTTTAACGAGTCATGATGCTATTAATGTATTAGTCCTGGCGAAGGCCACCTCAGGGGATTAGTATCAAAAACGCTCTCCGAACAGATTTAAGAATTTCCGTGTCGACCCAAGATGCGAAACCAGTTCCAATCGAGTAAATCTTTACTTCCTGTGTGAAGAACTCCGTTCCCAATCGAAAGGGCCTCCAACAAAAATGGAATGGTGGCACCCTCAACCGATTCGGAATGCCACACCTTCATTATTACATGTGGGAGAATCTGCTGTGGGCGAGGCCGCCGAATGGGATTACGTGTTCTCCGTGTACGTAAAAGGGCCCTATATATATGTACTGACTCCAATTAGATAAGTACCGGTGAGATTCGGAAGGACTAGGCTGGTCAGCAACAATAACAATGGATATATTGAATGTATACCACTCACTCGTATAGTCTACAGGCACCAGGCAGGAGGGAAGTTGATACGTCAAGGGCGACGGGAATAATTTACAGGTCCCTATACAATCCAGACATACAATACACACCGTTGTACAATGTCACACGATCACATCCACAC